TTTGGCCCCGTCTAATTCAGTGGCACGTGGACTGAATTAAACGGGGCCAAATAAACCCGTTCAGCCCCACCTACGGAAAATATTTCTGCAGCTTGCGGCCCCCATTTTCCCGTCTCACCCCCGATTTCATCATTTTGTCAAAGAAGAAGATGCAACCTAATGGCGTTTGATACTTTCTTCGACAAAAAATAGATTTTGAGAAATTGTTACAATAAATTTAGTTAACCCTTGTCCCCGGATTGCCCCGCCTGGCCCCGGCTATTTAGATGGCGCCATGCGGGGCTGGTGTTGACAGGGAAGAATGAGAAAAAGGTGGCTTCTCGCTGCGCAAACACTTTTCCGGCCGGCGGGGGACCGGCTGAAATTCCCGTCGATGAGCTAATGATGGGGGATTTCAACCCGTCCCCTGCCGGCCGGAAGAGTGTTTGCGCAGTGAGACGCCTCCTATTTCTCATTATGAAGTCTCCAAATTGATAGATATTTTAAAGAATAAAGTTATTAATAATTTATTGATAAGAGAGTTGATTTCTAAAAATTCGTTCTCTCAATATAATTTATTTAGTCAACAATTTTCATCCCCGTTTTCCCCCGTCGCCTGTGCTGGCAGGGTCAAGTTGGCAAGTGTACTTATGTTGAAAACATGCGCAAATGCATGTCTTTATACCTTATAAGCAAACTATAAAAGGCTCGGGACAAAACTTACGTCTTTTGATAAATTTAAGTGCTTATAACTAAGACTATAGTCAACAATTTACCCTCTTGTACCTCTGATTTTACAGATACAATTCTACTAGCAGTACCACAGGAGCTTCTGTGCCATAACAAGCTGATCAATTTCCATCAGGCGTTTTTATTTGTATGCCTTTATGGTTACGTAACTTTACCCTCATCATTATTAGCAATTAAGTATCTGTTAGCTTATAAATCTTTGCTTTTCTAGGGTGAGTTAAGTAACGAGGGACAGCGATTAGTCTTTACCTTGAAGAGCCAACAGCTGGTTCTCTGAAAACTATGCTTCCTTACTAGTAAGTAAAGTTTTTGAAAAAACGGCAGAACTTGTATTGTCCATTAATTCGCTCCACCTGTCACCGTAAAATGATAGCTTTGTTCGAGTGCATCTTCCCTTCTGTTGCAAACTCTTGACTTTTGTAAATTCTCAAAATCAAGTCGATCAAACTTCTAGGCCTTGTGGGAAAGAATGGCTTTTGAATAAATATACTTTTCATGCTAATCCAACATAAATTAAAACGGGGTTTGCATTTTACACATCTTTACAGTTGAGTTTTGTCTTATTGACTTTTGACAGATACTTCAATATGATCGCTTGAATAAATCTAGAACGCGTCTACCTTTCCCTCCAGAATACTTATTTACATTTACAAACGATCCTGCTACTTTTTGTTTTAATTAAGTTTATTGAGTGATTAAACTAAATTCGCAGGTTTGCATACTAGTTGCAAAATTCCAGCCTGTTAGAGGACTTAATCATGGGTTTTCTTGTTGTATTTCATAGCAATATAAGTCCTTATTTGAGCTTCGGTTCTTTTCACCGACCTTTCTTTGAAGGCCTAGAAAAGCGCCGACCTGAATTTGAGTTCTGATATTGTTGATTTGAAACTACTAGAGAAATCTATCAGGTCTCATACTAGCGTGCTACTGAAACGTTCTTTAGTCTTCTTACGATTCATTATTCGGATTTAAAATCCTACAGACTTCACCTCAATCAATTTGTTAACAATAACGAGAGAATCATGTAATACAACTTCTTGGTATATTCTTTTACCTAACAGCATTTTGTGTTATTTGACGGTAGAGAATCGGCCGTGGCAGAAGTCGTAGTCATCTTCTTAGTCATACAACGCCAAACATATGGCCTTATAGGTTTGCTTTTCCGGGTATCGCATTTGCTTACGCAGTCAGTCATGTGTGCAATTCTAAAAACATCTACGTTGTGCTTCAGTTTATTTCATATGATCCTTACTCCTTTCTTGGCCTGCACTATTCTGATGCTTTAATCCATCCAACCTACTCATATTGCTGTGGGACATGGTCGTTGAATTGGTTTTTGATTTATTTTGAGAATGCAGAGATGTAACTGACGAACAGTTGCTTTTAGACGTTGTTTTTTTCTGGATATTCGAAAAGGATTTTTTCTAAAATTTGTTGAAGTAGTTGACTTTGATTATGGCACTATTCTTTCAGGGTGCTAATGACTTAATTTTGGAGCAATGCAGTGACCCGTCATCTAATTCAAACCCCGAGTACTTTTTAACTCGACATGTGAACTTCAATTGGAGAATCGATTTTAACACCAAGACAATTTCTGCCTGCGTCGCATACGAAATGATCCCTTTCGACTTGTATACCACTCCCGACCAAATGTTGGTATGCATCTTTGTAAACTGCCCGCATTAACCTGCTAACGTCTCCTCAGGTGTTTGATGTTAAAGATCTTGAAATATCAAAAGTTTGTATAAATCAAATGGAGGCGAAATGGTTATTAACTGACGGCCCTTATCCGGAATTGGGGAATTGCCTCAAAATTCATCTTCCTAGACAAACTCAAAGGTATGTCGTGCGTATACGGTAGCCCGTTTTTCTGCTAATATTGTCATATGATGTTCAGCCAAACACTCCTTTTGTCATCGCCTTGCCCTGTATGTACTTTCATCTTTACTGTTAGTTCAACTCATGTGATCGGACGTGCCACAGTTGAAAACTGGCTCTGGATAGGTTTAAAAACTTCCAAAATAAGAATTGAGAAGGGTGATTGCTGCGTGTTAGTAAACGACTGTAGCTTATCCTCGAGGATGATGAAAATGAACTCTTATCGCTGAACAATCGGAAATTCGAAAAAATCACATTTGGACCATTTATGTGAATTAATTGTCCTGACTTAAAATTTTTGAAAACACCTTTTCAGTCTCGTATTCTTAGACATCGGTGAACGACCATTTCAGTTCATCTAATTAATTATAACGTATACTGACCATTTCGCCATAGGACCGATCTCCTGTCGTGTTATTTACTTAGGTTCTCCACGTCTTGGTTAGCGCTTTCGAGGATCAGAATGCCTGTTTGCCTGAGCTAGCGTTCGAAAACCGTTCTTCTGGCAGTTTGTGCTAAAAGCATGGATCAGATTGGCTTGAGATCGTTAAGACTTCCCGACCTGTGCGAAAGCTTTCGAAATCTTTAAAAAGATAGCATTTCGGTTGTAACTTTTTTCAGCCATCTTATCCGAGGAGCAAATCTCATATAAAATTTGTTACCTTTCAATCCCATATTTTTCACATAATTAAAAAAATAGTTATTGCGTTTTTATAAGAGGCGTCACTCGCTGTCCTGTCTCCCCTCCTTATAACGACGTCCACTTTAATTTCGGAAAAAGTCTGATGTTGCTACTTTTTTAAAATTTTATGCATGTTGTTCCCTTACCCTTTTTTCTATTCTTTTTTATGCGTTGATATGAATTGCCTTGAAATCCAAAGTGCCATAAAAAGTTTGACGCCCGCGTGTCGTAAAATCAGGGCTATTTCTTGTTCCTGTTAGTGTCCACGTGACTAAAATAGTGAGCTTGCCGTAAGCAATCGTGTCATTGAGAGAAGGTTCCCCAAATCAAAAGCCCAGTAGGACAGAGTTAGTAGGAGCAGCGGGAAAAATAAAGGCTGCGTCACGAGCCAGCTGACAGCTATGTCTGCGCGCCAGGTGTGTCCGTATGAGGTTATGTACTATTGTGAAGCTTTGCCCGCGCGATTTATGCTCTCTCTCGCTCGCAGCCAATCAAATGAAGCAAGGCTGATCAATTGGCATTGAGCATAAGCGCGCATGCAGCAGCGAGTTGACCGAGCGCGTGGGAAAGGCCGATAGTGTGCGTAGTAGCTGATTACGCCTGGGTGCAAGCCTTGGCAGAGCGAAAATAGATTGAGTCAGCGCGCAGACTCCTACAAGCTCCATATGGCGTATAACTATTGCCCAAATAGCAGAAAATCAATCGTAATGTTCACTTCTCTGTTACAATGTGATCAAAGACTACTGTTTAAATTATATTTCCAGCTAAAGTACACTTCAATTCATTGGCTCAGATGCTTTATGTAGTAAGGCCGGTTTCGCCATCTGCATTGCAGTTTCACTCTGCACATAGAATATCGGACATCGCCACAGTCATCGGCCCTGCAATGGCTAGATGCTGCAATGACCGCTGACAAACAAAAACCCTTCCTCTTCACCCAATGTCAGTCCATTCACGCCCGAAGCCTCTTCCCCTGTCAGGATACCCCAAGAGTAAAGTTTACTTACACCGCTACGGTAAGTCCTGCCTACTTCTCATCCCCAAATTCGTGACGCCCTGACTGAAAGCTGTAAGTCTCTTTTCTAATCCAAACAAATGCAAACAAGGCGACGTAATCTCGATTAGAATTCAATATTTTGGCAAAATGTTGTATCGAATTTCCAGTACGCATCCTGTTTAGTCCTCTTACCTTTTTGTGTTCCAAAAGCCAATTGTATTTAATAATTTTTGTATATATATTTAATTTCAGTGTATATCTGTTTTTTCTCTCCCAAACTGTTTTCAAGTATTTGTATCGGCTGCCATCTACGTGAGAGCCGCATCAAGAGGGAGTTTTATCATTTTCTTGAAGAAAGTTTACTTAAGGCAATCGGAGGTGATTGTTTAAGTGTGTCTATGCCCCTACAAAAGACTACTTTATAGATGTGCTGGGCCGAATGGGAGGCTATATCAGGGAATGAAAAGTGTTATTGGGAATGTGCAACCGTACCAAGTTTCGCACGACAAGAAGAAGTGTGTAGTGGTGCGCCTAGGTGCAGGTTCACGCCGCACCGAACACTTGCGCTCCATCTCGCCGCTGGTTATGTAAGTGATGTCATAACACTGGACTCGGATGGCTGAGGTGTGCGGGAGTGCGGTATATGCAGCGCGAGCCTACTATCATTATCAAATAATTCATATCCAAGTCCCTGTCCTCGTGTTCAACCTTCTGTGAGGCATGGGGGGGACACAGTCAGAATCGACGATCGAGTTGTTGGGTGCAGGTTTCTTAAACTGCTGATAACGTTTACCATGTTCTCTTGGGTATATTCCAGTTTTTAATTCTTATTAGGATATCATCTCACAGGGACATGAAGGAAACAAAAAAACTTCCTTTCAAAACAGAAAGCGTAATATTCTGAAAGAAAGGCTCCTGATCTTCCTTATCCTGCGCTATGAATGATTTTATAAGTGTCTTCACGCTAAAGCCAATGCCAGTTTTATATCACTTATTTTTGGACTGGCCTAATTAATTTTCATATAACTTTGGTTTTTTGGCCATCCTCGGTTTCGTTTTCAACTTATATTTGAAGCTTATGTCGCCAGTGGTTCTTGTGCAATATCCTTGTTATTCAGATCTAGAGCTGCGATATCGCAGGTATCACCAACCAATTCGCCTACTTAAGTTTGGACTGCTAGATCAATAGTTTGTTGGCGACGGTGAAATGTTTGCGATGCAAGTCGCACGTGAGTTTGTATAATGTTTTTCTTTTTCCCAGGTTTGCGCAGACCCCTGTATGACTGTTCTCATGGGTGCAAAATACTTCATGGATCCCAATGCGTGCCCCTCCTCCGGTCAACCGGTTCACAAATTCGAACAGCCGATGCCAATACCAAGTTATTTGGTAGCCCTCGTTTGCGGAGACCTGAGATCCACGT